CCCAGGGGGGATGGTCACACCGCAATCCCTTCTCCTCCATTCTCCTCTCGGGATCTTGGGCACGCACGCACACGTGCCCGGCGTGAGTTTTAAGCCATCGGGTCCGGGATGCAAACCGCGGTCGACCACATGGGAGTCCAGCAACATAGCCATTACGCTAACTGCTGGTTCCCTAGAAAAATCTCTCTTAAAACAAACAAAAAGACCCTGTTGGAGGTGCTGTCAACGTCTCTTCTCTTTCTCTTTCTTGTTCATGAAATAAATTGGTACATAAACTTAAAAAGATAAATTAAAAAAAAAGAAATAAAAGCAGATTTATTCTGGTACAAAACAAAAAGAAAAAAATCACAAACCTGCGGGACCAGCAGCTGGCATGGTGGTTAAGGGAATTGGACTCCCACATGGGTGACTGCAGTTCAAGTCTCAGGCCTGGCAGCTTGCTTTCACACTCACTCTCACTCACTCTGTCCCACTCTGGTAAAATTAAAATAAATAAATAAGTTAAATAAAATAATTCTTTTTTTGAGAGAGATTTTTGTTATAGGGCATGTGCACTCACCCAAGAGAGAGAAAGTGAGAAATCACTCCCCAGGGGGAATGGCCATGCCGCAGTCTCTTCTCTTGTGATTTTGAGCATGCACGTACACGCACCCAGTGTGAGTTTCAAGTCACCAGATCTGGGACTCAAACTGTGGTTGACCACATGGGAGTCCATAGATGTAACCATTCCACCATCTGCTGGTCCCAATAAAATAATTTATTTTTAGAGGTTTTTGCTATAGGGTATGTGCACTCGCCAGACAGAAAGATAGAAAGCGAGAAATCACCCCCCAGGGGAAATGGCCACGCCGCAATCCCTTCTCCTCCATTCTCCTCTCGGGATCTTGGGCACGCATGCACACGCGCCCGGCGTGAGTTTTAAGCCACCGGGTCCGGGATGTGAACCACGATCGACTACATGGGAGTCCAGTGACATAGCCATTATGCTAACTGCTGGTTCCCCATAGTTTTTTCTTAAGACACATTTTCCATAAACTTTTCGGAGGCAAATTTATCGAGGGTCAACTACGAGTTAGGCAACAGGGATACAGAATAGAACAGAACAAACATGGTCTCTAGCTTTACAGAATCTACTCACCCCTTAACAGCAGACAGACAGTTCTAAAAACTACAAGTGTGGCGAGTGCTATCAACTTATAGAAAGCATTTACCTTCATTATAGGGCACTGGATTGCCAATCTTTAATCCGACAGCTTCAGCTGATTTCAATACTTCTAACTCCATCAAAATAACTACTCTCCTACAAAGGCAAACAAACAGAAACAAGTTAGAAAAAATAAATTCAGAAGCCCTCCAAATGACGAGCTATTTAAAATGCTTTCCTCCAATGATTATTCTGATAAAACGACTTCCTTTTGTCAACTGGTTTTCATTACTGAGTAACTTGAGAAATACATACCAATTCCTATATAAATATTTCCCTTAATCTTTCACCGCATCGTTATCAAGGCCTTTCATGATTGCAGGTCTTCATATCCCATCTAGTTCCTTAATTAAAATGCAGTGTCCTTGCTACATACCGTATCTTCAAGGAGCAACTGACATGATAGGAATTTAGATCATTAAACACAAGAATATGTGGCATAAAAAGAGACGATCTGTTTTCAGAAACATACACTTATCTAAATAACTTTTTCCCCGTGAAAATCAATGATGACAGTAGATATTTTGTAAAATATAATTATTACCCATCATTAAGAAGTTAACAGTTCTTGGATGCACCTTTAGCCCTGATTAAAATCTTTCAACAGTTTTCTAATGACCTTAGGCCCAAGTTAAAAACCTTTGACATGTGGGGGCAGTAGGTGGCATGGAGGTTAAAGGCACTGAACTCCCACATGGCTGACCATAGTACAAGTCCCAGACCTGGTGACTTGCTTTCTCTTTCTGAGTGTGTATATCTTGTTCTGGTCAAATAAAAAATAACAATAATAATAAATAATATAAAGAAAATCATTCTAAAAACAAACAAACAAAACCTGTGACATGGCTTAGGCCTTTTATGATCTGACCTGCGAATGTGTCTCCAGCTCATCTCAGATCACTTAGTGCTCTAGGCTTTCCAGCCATGTCATTCCCTTTCAGTTCCTAGTCTGTGCTCCACTCCTTCCTGGCACA